GATGTATGTATGTATGTATGTATGTATGTATGTATGTATGTATGTATGTATGTATGTATGTATGTATGTATGTATGCATGCAATACGCATGAAACGGCATGAAACATACTGACGTTCGCGGGCAGAGGTCGTTCCAATTAAATGACCTCGTTTCTTGTTTCCTTCTTATTGTCTGTTATGGAAATGATCTAATGCTACAAGTTTCGAAATTCAAAAGCTGTCTCGCTTGATGTATGACATATGTTGGTTGACAACTAAAAAAGCTTTTGTTCGGTAGCGATCCTGTTAGGAGAGGTGATGTGTCGCTCAGAAAATAGCCACTGCTTAAAATTTTAGAACAAAAATTAATAACTAAGCGATACAAAGGCTGTAAGGCCCTTCAGCAGGACCTGATCATCAACTTACTCTCACTTCAAACAGAAAAGCACCAAAGTAATTTGACTGTGCATTCGCTTTGGACAAAGCTTAGCTCAAATCCAAAACACAAGCAAGGGGGTGGGGTTGGAGGTGTGTATGAAGAAATCTCTCTCGCTGCAATAGTTAATGATGAAAGACTTGAGAATGCTACTATTTTTGGCTACCCACTCGAATTTCATGTGTATTGTCATAAACGTTCTCATGCTCTTGTTTTAGGTTTCGAGAAAAATATATATTGACCCTGATTTCAATAGCTAACGCTGCGCGAAAGGATGTCACATGTTTAGTTGTTGATTTCATAGCATCAGGTATCATATTTATTTTGACGAGCTTTTATCTTGTTCGTTACTCATAAAATACTCATGTGTTTCATTGTATTCAATAGGAGAGCATCGAGAAAGACGAGCTCCTGTATTACCTTCGAAACCCTTACACATGTGATCAAACTCTGATCTTTGTGAGTAGGTTGCGAGTAGTTCTCGAACGCACAACAGTGCTCGCCCGATTATTTAACGAGATGCAAATAGAGGTAGTTTGATCCTCCAAAATTAGTTCTTCCAGCATCGTAGCAAGGTTTTGAGCAACAAGGCCTCTTCAACGTTTCAACACACATCGTTTATGAAACAACAGTTCTCCAGAGCAAACTGGTTAGAGCTCTGGATTTGCATTCGGCGCTTAGGCAACACGTGCACACGCAAAACATAAACATTTGAACTCTAGCAAAAAACATGACAGTCAAATCAACAATATGTCTAACTCTGGAGGCTAAATATCTGCAAACAGTGAGTACATACCCTTCACTAACTGCTAAGTCGTTCGATATGATTGAAAGAGACATGATCAAGATCCGACCTTGTTGATGAAATGGTTTTTTTTTGCTTGTTTGTGTCGATAGAAAGTTATTTTTGATTGGCATACTTGGAATCCAATCAAAAAAGGGCTATTATCTTTGGAACATAAAGACAGGAATGACGTCATGTGTCTAAATTTCAATATGGCCGCGGAAACATCGTAGGAATTATTTGTAATGTTGATCTTGATGGCAACGCTTTAACCTGTCATGCCATCGTCAGCGAAAAAGAAAGTTAAAGACCTTCACTTGGCTTCCAATTTAGAGGAACTGAACAAAATAGCTGATCCAGGCTTGCCCGTTGACAGAAATGCGAACCCCACACCGTAAGTGATAAATGTACTTTGTTGATGTCAGATTTCTGTTCTTTCCTTAGTTTCCGAAAATCTATAGGGCCATAGCTTTGCGTATGATAACTTTGAACCTTTGATAAGGCAGCTAAAAATCGTGCAAGGTTGCCTCACCTATCCACTTTCTCATTGCCCACCGAACACGACTTCAGACACATCACACAAAGGATCAGAATATACCTGATTTCGTTTTGAAGATAATTATACAAGCGTTGTTACAATACCTTCACAAAAAATTATCCATGCCTCTTTATTGATTTTTTAAAATGATCGTTTTGGTTTTCAGTTGTATTAGAAAGAAATAATTGAGGTGTAACCTCCAAAGGTTTATGATATTTTAAGAAATATTAATTAGTTCTAAAAAACAGCACATTTAGTTTCTCCTTTGGGTACAAAAATTTTTCTCTTTGTCCTATTTGTAGAGTTTTCTTTAAAATAATTTAAATTTTCAGTTTGTGTTAAGCTCTCACTTTGCTTTATGGGCATCTACATGTTTTAGTTCAAATTGAATCTCGTGTGAAAATGATTGACGAATTTGAATTGTTTGCATCTTAGTCCTTTAACGATGAAAAATGAAAATCAGCTTATCTGAAATCATTTTAACCCATAATAATTTGGATTTTCAACCAATGTTCAAATATAAACCGGTTTCTTGATCTATACATCTCTAGATATATCAAATCAGCGGATAAAGTTTACCTAAAAGCTCAAGATAATGATCTGGATGGTGATGAGGAGTATGCCTATGTATACTACATGCGTTATTTTAAAATCATCAGCTTGATTAAAAAGAGCGTCAAATACAGTGGTAACAAGGTGGGTATAACTGCCATGGGCAACTGATTCTTTAATAAGGACAAACAACTCTAAGACAATCTTCAGCAAGAGTTTCGGAACGTTTAATTGCAATAACTGATGATGGCGGCCAGCACAGATCAAGGAAACAAACAAAACAAAGCGAAACAACATGGTTAAAACTGCAAAGAAAATAGCAAATGAAAACCTATTACAATACAAACTAAGCTAAATACACTTAGGAAAACTACAACGAAAACAACGATGAAAATTGCATAATACAATTAAAACTTACATTTGTTGCGATGTTGATAATTCCCTGCCTAGTGGCAAAAAAGCTGCATAAAGTGATATGACAGAATACAGTTGAAATTACTGGACAAAACTGCACAGACTATGATGAACAATACAGTTTAAATTAATGCCATGTTACATAACATTATGAAATGACGCAAAGAAAGCGCATGCAAAATGTTTACTACAATTAGGACTACTTGAACAAGGATACTAAACAAAGGAAAAAGAACAAGGTGTTTGTGACCTACAGTGGGTGTTAAGCAATGTCTTAACTTTTTACACTCAAAGATCAGTATTTACAGATAATTATTTTCTCTACATTGTTCACTACAGACAAAGGTTGTTGGAAAAATGGATCCATTGAGTGCATGCTTCAGCGAATCTTAGTTAGTGAAATAAATAAATAGAGACAAAGGGCTGATGAACAGGGGATGAATACTAACATGCATGTGATTATAAGAGGAACATTTAAAACAATAGAATATTAATAGTAAGAGCAACTTTCTGTAAATACCACGGGTAGGTGTGCAAGATGGAAAAATCGAAATCTCCCAAACTTTGTCACATTAAAGCCCTTATGAAACTAGTTTAGAAAATGCAAGATTCAGTTTCTTGCGATTGATATTATTTTTCCAAAAAATAATTTTTTTTTAATTTTCACCTCTGAGAGGCCTTAAACCACCAAAAATTGTGCTTCGCATCCTCGCATGGTGAAAAGAAATGGAATCAAGTACCATGACTATCGCAATATAAGATGACTTTATGACCCTTCCTTTGTATGAAAACATTGTTGTAATTTCAAAAGATTCCAATCTGAATTTAGAATTTTTTTTCAAAATTACCCTCTAAAACAGTTTCATTGCGACTATCAATAATTATTTTGCCATTATTCAACGGCAAAAAACTCTTCCTGGTACATGGCTTTCATTGTGCAAATGCTATTCCAGAGAAAGAGCAATCCTTTTTCTTTCAATTTATGAAATAAAATTTTGGGGCAATTCAAACGGCAAGTTTTGAGAACTGAAAACATCAACAGTACTTGCGTGAAATTTACAACTTTTGAACTTGCGGTTGCAATGACAAATACAAGCAGTACAAGAGTGAGCTTGGACAGCAGTTTAAATACTTCAAGAATTCAATCCTTTTCCACTAGTTCAAAAACTAAACAAACGATTATGACTTTGTAGTGGCAATTATCTGAAAGGAAAAGCATTTTTATTGTGCAAAATTGAGCTGTAAACCTCTTGACAACACTTCCCCTACCTGTGCATTTGTTTACTTTGAAGCCTGACTTGTACCAGTTATCTAATTATGAAAAGTATTCATCAAAATGTTCACATTTCGTCTGGGTGTAGTCAAAGAGGATGTCACACAATCTAGTTTAGCCAAGGGATTTTCGCGGGGATGTGTACTGACAGTTCTAGGGGATATGTATATGTTGTGGTTCAATTTTATCCTTAGTTTAAATTTTATTTTCCATTGGTTTTGGTTATGGTATTATATGATAATAAGGTTGAAACAATGGAAAATAAAATTTAAACCAAGGATTAAATTGGACCACAGCATATGTACTGAGAGTCCCAGGGGATATATACTGATGTGCATGTGATTACGAGAGGAAGAAAACAATAAAATATATATAATACACGGTAAAAATTTTTTCCTTAGGTCACCTTGAATTCATTCTCTCTATTCTTTCTATTGTTTATTGGGGTCAGTTCATTCTCTTTGTTTCTCATCTCTAAATTCAACAAACCTGCTATGCCTGGTCCTTAAAGTGATGGTTTTTTTTTTATTATATTTCCCTAAATCCTGAGGTTAAGGAACCATGACCCACAATGCTCATGCGATTTTTCTGACATCCTCTCATGAAACAGTGCAGGCGCGGTGGCCTCATGGTTGGTGCACTCGACTCTGGATCGATTGGTCTGGGTTCGAGCCCCAGCCAGGGATATTGTGATGTGTTCTTCACCCAGGTGTTTAAATGGTTACCAGCAAATTTAATGCTGGGGGGTAACCCTGCGACGGACTAGCAACCCATCCAGGGGGGAGTACGTAGAAATACTCCTAGTCGCTTCATGCTACAGAAACCGGAGTTAAGTGCCGGCCTGATGGGCCAGTGGCTCATAAACAGACTTTACCCTGTTTTTCATGAAACGGCTGTATACTTTTCCTTTAGGAGTGACAAGGAGAAATTGTATAACAATCAGGGACTTCTTCAGTTGGTGATTATTTCCCCTATTCTAATGACCTTTACATCTGCCTCAGGGGTGATATTATAAAGAGAAAATAGCAGCAGTTCATTCTAATGGGCGAACAGGTTAAAGGTTTGCCTCAAAGTATGTGAAAATTGAGATGAAATGTAAATCTGCTCACATTTGAAGAATCATTAATGGGAAACTAAGGAAATTAGCTCAAGAGATGGAAGAGAGTGATTATTTTGTTGTAGAGTTGTCAGGATGGAAACTGTACCTTTAGTGAGTACTTTTTGTATCACAATTACATTTGGAATACTGGTAAAAGACCTATTTTTTTCCTGTTGGGATTTTCAGAAGTATTTTGACAATTTATTGGGGAAAAACAAAATCATAAAGTCTATTGAGCGCGCAGAAGCTTTGCAAGGAAGCCTCAGGAAAAGGTTGGTAATTTGTCATATACAGTACTGGCAATATATAGTGCTCAATTAAGGTAAAATTGTACACAAAAATACACTCTTAAACATGATTTACCATAGTCCTCACACTAAACCAACATTTGTTAAATACTTTAAATTCTTCATTGTAAAGAACATTAAATGTTGTAAATCTGTGAGTGAGTTTGCTATCGCCTAGCTACACATAGTGAGAAAATTTGGAATAAGATATTGTTCTGCTTTGAAGTAATAAGAGTTGATTCAAGTCATGAAGTTATAACCACTGTAACAGTAACTTTTATAGTGTTGTAAAAGGAACCATCTGATAACCTCTGAAAACCTGTTTCTTCAGGTATGAGAAGCTTAAAACTCAGCAGGATGCTGAGGCAAAAGCACAGGAAGAAGCAAAGCAAAAAGAAGAGGAAGACAAAAGTAAAGAAAAATTGTGCACTCCCAGACATAACTAGTTTGGACACTTCATGAGACAAATGCTTGTGCTGTTCTTTTGTCCCCCTCCCTCATGCAAAGATTTTCTATTATCAGTGTGTCTCTGTTACCCTGCAGACCAAATTTGAGAGGGGCAGGGGATCAAAGGCAGTAGGTGTCTCAGTAAATGTGTCTTGGAGTTTAGTTACATCTACATTTTGGTGATTTTATGTAATATGTACTATGTTATATATAGTCCTACATGCACAAAGTACTTTATCTGGATGAAATACTTTGTCATTGCCAAAACATTTTAAGGTTTTTGTTGTAAGTATGGGGTTCTATAAACTATCTAAACTCCTGCATAGACAGTCAGTTACAAATTAAAATGATCACAAATTACCATAATGATTGAAATCTCTCTTTGTAATACCCACCTGTTTCATCCCCAATACCCGGCTACTTTCAGCCCCTCTTCCTATGCACTGGGGTGTCCCTTGTTTTCTCTGATTGTGAATGGTCAAGTGGGGGGGTTAGAAGCTAACTGGACTTCAATTTTAATTTGATTTCTAAATACCTATTTTAAATTGGCGGCATAGATGTGCTAACTTGTACCATTAATCTTTTTTACAGTTGGGAGGTTTTCTCCCTTGTACACTACCCCTTGGAATTTCTTTTGATTAATTTTTCCCACTGAATGGGTTTATAATCCTGTTGAATTTCATTTTTTTCAAGAAGTGCTTCACCAACTATGTCGGCTACTATGTAGGTGTCTTGTAGTTGTTTGAATTATTTAAGAATTAGATCATATTATCTTGTAAAGGTTATGATTTTAGCTTTTCCTTGTTTGCTTTGCAGAAAAATTAGCTGCACTGAAGGCCAGAAATGACAGGTGATAAGAACAAAAAAATGATCTTGGCTGATGAATGACGTGTACAAAGAGATGTCAATTAACTGTACCCTTGTTTTCGTTTTCATGAATCCCCTGAAAATATCCTTTTACTTTGGACATACAATCTTCGAAACTAAATATCATCAAGTTTAGAAAACAGTCTGATAGAAATACTAGGGACTTGTACTGTGACATGGGAGACCCAGTGACTTAATGGTCAGTGTAATGGACTCCAGGTCACAAAGAACAGATTCGAGACTTGGCCTGGGTCTTTGGGTTGTGCTGTGGGCAAAACACTTTGCTCACACAGTGCCTCTTACCAACCAGTGGTTTAAATTGGTACCACCAAATTGTCAGAGAAACCTGATGAAATTCAGGGGGGGATAACCTTGTGATCGACTAGCATCCTATCCAGGGGGGGTAGTAATACATCTAGTAGCTACATGCCACGGTAATTGGGATATGATCCTACCTTTCCTGTACGCTGTTATTGTTGATAGACCGTATAAAGAGAACATTAGAGACTTCACATGAATTAGAAGAAATCCTTTCTCTAATAAACGCTTTTTTGAAACTAAACTTTCATTTTGTCTGTCTAGGTTCTCGTACACATCTGTTAAAATAATGGTTGACTCCTCCTGATGAGCATTACAAAGAAATTGTACAACTTTACAATGCAATGACACAATGATACTTTTAAGTTCTTGAGGAGGGTATAGTTTCTGTTTGATTACCTTTTCAGTGACAGTGGCTTTGAGAGTGATGTTGATTCTCGCCTGAATGGAAATGGAATAAGTTCTTCCTCTGAAGTTTATAACAAGCTTAAGGTATGAACATTCATGCATGCTGAGAAGTATTTTTTCTGTCTTCTACTTTCATTTATTATGGTTTCTATCTCTTAAGAGGGGGCTAATTCTAAACTAGCTGGTACAATGTATGAAAAATATGAATTCAGTTTAGTTGTACTGTAAGTTCTTTACAATCTCATCCCTTTAAAAAACACATTTGGCAGGCTTTTCAATCTAATTAATTACAAGTTTGTGTATTTAAATGCTTATTAAAAGTATTTGTAGTATCTAATTACAAGATTATTGATTGGTAGTGTTCAAAAATGTGTGTTCAATGATGTAGTGCTGCAGTATTTAGGATCAAAATATTTTTGCCAATCTTGAGGGGGAAATTGTAACTGAAGTAAAGGGAAAAGTGAGTATTAAAAAATATCATGGCTGTTGAAAAGGTTATAACTGACAAGAAGAAAAATTTTGAAGTTTTTTATCCATGTGTGGAATCTTATAATCTTCAAGAAGTGTGCCTTTTGACTTCAGGTCAGCCACAATTCGATTCTTACTCCAGAAATGTCAGAAAATGACAGTGGTAAGTACTTTGCAATTTCATGAAAGATTTACCTTAACCCTGCACATTCTAGCATCAGTATGTATATTCTCCATACTGTTCTCTACACATTTCCTAAGCTGCTGACAGGGAGAATTTGTGAACTGTCAAGAGTTTCTTTGATTGGTGGTCTTTTCCTTTTATTCTCATAACCTCAATGTGTGATTCAGGGGTGATATTGTAAGGAGAAATTAAATGCTGGTCACTCTGAGGAGCCAAAGGATTAAACTTTTGTTCATTTAAGGTGTAAGGAACCCAATGTTCACTACTAGAAAGCAGCAACAAGAAAACTTGAAATCCGCTGAATTGTAAACTCTTTTTATTACATGAACAATGCATAAATCCACTGAATAAAGCAAAATAACAACTGAATCACAAAGGATAAGAAAGCTGAACAAAAACCGATTGATACTCACAAGTTTTTTTGTGCATTGTTCTGCTAATAGCAAATGAAATCATGTTCAACAATCTCAGTGGAAGCTAAAACTTAGACTCAAAACAGACCATGTGCTCTCGAAAACTTAATATCTTATTGTGATTGCAAAAACATGTAACCAGTGGTACACATCGTAAATAACTCACTGAAATGTCTGCTTGACTGTCCACATTCGAATTGGGTCTCAGGCATTACATAAGGTAACAAGATATTCAAATTTGAGGAATGTGAGAATTTGCAAACTGGAAATGAGACATAATGCCTGTATACTTAATAACCCTTTAACTGTCAGAAGTGATTAACCTGTAACTTCTCCCAATAATATCCATACATGATCCAGCATACTCAAATACTCAAACTTATCAGGTAGAAGTTGTTATCTTGCTTGAACAACAAATTCTCATAACCAATTTACGAGGAAATGTGTAGCAGCTAGAGGGGAGAATTAAAAGTTAGATCTTGGGAGTTAAAGTGTTAATGTTAATGTGTATTAGTAGTAAGTAAATAGATTTACCAGAACTTTAAAGTCCAAATCTGATCCATGAAAGTGTTTCATGAGAGAGTCAGCCATCCCTTATGATAATTAATGGTTGTTTACCTTAGTACTGGTAGCATAAATTTCATCATTTGGTTTTTCTTTTAGGTGCACTCATAAGTGGACTGGAATCTCCAGCCTCATCATTTGTGACAGATGGTGTGAAATGTATATCAGCACAAGAACTGTACAATCTCATAAAAGTGTCTGAGTTCAAAATTCTGATCCTTGATTGTCGACCCCATGCCAAGTTTACTGAAAATTGGATCCAGTGTTCTTGTTGTATAAATATCCCTGCTGAGTTGCTGGATCAAGGGTATGGAACATTTATTGTTATTATTCCCTCTTGAATGGTTGTGTCCAAATTAAACAATTAGGAGATTGAGGATATTACATGACTGTGCAGATAAATGAAATTTTGTATCTCCAAGCAGCCATGTAATATTCTATTTATTATATAAACTGGAAAAAGTATTATTTTCATGTGTGAAGATAAAATGTTATTTTCATGTGCAAAGATATCACGTTTTTGTGCAAAACTTACCTGATATTTCTTTGGTGTTAATATATTAATAAATCTCTCTCTTATCAAGGTCCAAAGGTAATGTCGATGAAGGTTTAATAATTAGATCCAATTTATACTATGTATTCATTTGTTACAGAGTAACATTGCAGAAGGGTTTTAAGTGCTGTGTTTTATAATTGGGGAGTTCAAGTATAATGACTGTTTGACAACGATTAATCTATTTGCTTTTCAAGGGTGTCAGTTGGCAGCATAGAAAGAAGGCTGCCAGAACTAACAAGAAAGGCTTGGAACCGGAGAGGAGAGAAAGAGTTTGTTATTTTAATGGATGAATCAACCAAGGTTTCAGAAATAACCCCTGAATGCAGAATTCAGAGGCTCAAAGATGTGATATTCACCTATGACTCCTACAGCTCATTGAAACATGAACCAGTATTTCTTGATGGTGGATTCCACAGCTGGCTTTGGCATTATCCATCATTGGCTATGAAACCAGAATTACCAATGGTATTTTGGAAACTTTATGATTTTGACATATTGATACCTTGACAATAAATCATTTTAGATGTGTCATGGAGAGAATACTTGCCAATGACTCTAAGACCTTAATTTTAAATCTGCATACTCTTGAAAACATTATATCAATAGAAAATGAAATGAAGTTTCGACCGTGACTCTGAGCCTTTTGTTACATGTGATTTGTGTGTGACAGGTAGTTTGTTTTGCCTTGGGAAAGAAAGCATTGAAATTAACAACCTTGAACTACTTTGTCTTCTAATGTTAGCTTTCCTGTGTCAAGGCAAATGGTCTATATTTGATGAATAGCATGCTAGAACTTAGGAGGTATCCAGTTTTATTATCCAAATACACTCTGTATGGTAAAAATAACGCCCAGGATGAGTATAAATATGCAGTATTTGTACTCCAGATAACCTGTTAGACAGGTTTTCTCGCATTGCACAAGCGATGAATTGGATTGAAGTTTCAAAAGAATTGGCAGACAATTGAGGAAGAGTTGGAATGGCTGGTGAATATTGATCCAAGTTTATTAGATAAATTGAAAGAAGAAAAGCATTTGGACGAAAATGAAATTTCATCTTTTATTGATGAAAATAGAAACATCAACATGACAATGTGCCAATTCCATTCCGCTTTGCATACTTCTGTCACGCATTCCCCTTAAATAAATATCCATGAAATTTGCCGGTGCTGAAATGACAATTTGGTGTATTGGATAATAAATAACTTACCGGTATTAAAGGTTTTGTTATGTCCTATTGCTGAGTATTTTTACTCATTATAAATTTGTATTTTGACAAGCCAGTAGTGCTCATCAAGATATAGCACAATTTGTAAAAATTCTCAGCGATATGACACAACAAAATGTCTAATTAGCAATTATTCCATGAGTGCGCGTTGGATATGAGCTGACAGATAGCCAACGAGGTGCATAGCACCGAGTTGACTATGATCATTTCATATCCAACAAGCGCGAGTGGAATAATTGTTTTATTAAAAAAAACACCCCCAAGATATTAGACAAATCTTCTCAACTTTATTTTGTTAGAAGAAACCAGATGTTACAATGTACAGATATTAAATTATGGTATATTTCTCATATACCATAATGGCTAAGCCAATAAAAAGTCTTGAATTGCATTATCCAATGATCCAGTTTTTAATAATAAGATATAATTTCATGCACTAGTGACCTATTATATCTTCATTAATCTAATATGAAGTATTATTTACTCTTAGGTAAGGTCACAACCTAAATCTGTAACTCCCGTGGATTTGTCATCTTTAGACTACCCTGAACTACCTGAAGATAAGATATTAATCCCCCAGTCGACTGTGACCAAGCCTACTTCAAGCCCCTTGCAGTATCCTAGCATCCCAAATGCTGACCTTCAAAATATGCTGGGTCCAAAGGACAGTACTGAACAAAACAAAGCATCTTCACCAGCACAGGCAGAATTCAGCTCAAATGTACCATCACCAGGACAACCTGGAATTATTCCATCAGGAGCAGCTTGGAACCATGGTCCAGGAGCAAAGTTTAGGCAACTAGGAATTCATCCTGCAGTCCCTCCTTCACAACCTCCTTCTGACATTGGATTGCCAAGACCTGCTGATGCAGGTTCTCTCCAACATGAAGCTCCAAAACGGGAACCAATGAATTTGCCACCAACACAATCTGTTTCTTCATCTGAAGGTTCACCACTTCCTTCAGTAGGACCACAATCATCTGTGGGAATAGTTCCCCAGGCAGTCAATCCATCTTCAGCAGATTTAAGGACAACAGGCCCTGTGCCTAAAACGATGGTGCCCCATTCATCAAGTCAACCAATTTTTCAGCCTAACGTTCCTTCCACAGCTCCTAAAACAGTGCCAAGCACCCAGCCATCTTCTCAGTCAAGTGTAGTTGTTGCAAAGCCCTTTCCAAAGCCAAGTGTGCCATTCACAGGCTCTTCAAATACACCAACTGCTCAACCAGGCACTCCACCAAAGCAACCATCCAACCTAAAATCTAACTTACAGCCTAGTACATCCATTCCTGGCACCCAGCCTTCCAATGTGAATTCTATCCCTTCTCCAGTAACACCTGCGACTTCTGTGCAAGTGACTCCAGTGATATCAACTTTACCCTCCCCTCAAGTTTCTGGTGTTGTTTCCCCACCCCACCCTAACAATGTGTCACAGCAAGTAACACAAAGGGTTGAACCACAAAACCAACCATCTGTTTCTCCATTAGTGAGTCAGGTGCCTCATATTTCTCATGCCTCCATTTCCACATCACAAAGTCATCAGGTAACCACAACCTCTATCCCAGGGGCGGATGCAAGGAATATCAATTCAACAGCTGTGAAACCTAGTGCAGCGGCTCAATCAGGAAGCCCACAGCATTCACTCCAAGGGCCAATGCAGAATAAGACCAGTAGGCCCTACACAACTGTTGGTAAAGACTCTGCTTCCTCAGCTCCACCAAATATTTCAGACTCCTCTCAACAACCTGATAGCCGACCAAGTAACTTTTTTACTTCACCTGGACTACCACATGGATGGGAGAAGGTTATTGAACAGAACAGAACTTACTATAAAGATCATAATACACAAACAACTCATTGGAATCCACCAACAACTGGAAAAGGAGATGTTACACCGCAATCTGGTGCACAAAGGCAGCAGCAGCAGCCTCCAGTAAAAAGACAGTCTTCAGTAGAAAGGCCAAAACTGCACAGATCCAATTCTTCACCAAACCTTGCCAAGATCAAAGATCAAGGCCCTTCTGGTCCCAAGAAACCAATAATTGATCGTTTATCAAAACCAGAGTCTGGACAGAAAGGACAAACAAGGCCAGTTGTGAACCGTGTTGCCAAACCTTTGTCTGCCAATCAGCTTGATAGTTTTAATCCAAGCTATGGTGGTCCAGGAATAGGGTTAACAGGACTACGTAATCTGGGAAATACCTGTTACATGAATTCTGTGGTACAGTGCTTAAGCAGTGTGGCACCGTTGGCAAAATATTTCATGTCAGGAGTATTCAGGGAAGATATCAACAGGAGTAATCGAGATGGAACTAGGGGTAGGTGGAAATCTAAAAATATTCTCCTCATTTACTGGTAAATTTCATGGTAGGAGTGTTGTCCATGTGTTTTAGCTCTCACTGCCATCTAATTTACTTTCAAATTTAACTTCAGCTTCAGAGATATCTAAGTGTTTAGAGTGCTCCTTAAATTTAGCTTAACCTCTTGATCTCATGTAGAACCTCAATATCTATTTTCAGGTGAACTTGCTGAAAGCTTTTCAGTTCTCATTAGAGTCTTGCATTCTGGGCAGTATAAGTGTGTGTCTGCAGGAGAATTTAAACGGACAGTTGGCAAGTTCAAGTCTCAGTTCTCAGGCTATGACCAACATGATTCCCAAGAATTGCTAGCCTTCTTAATGGATGGTTTGCAAGAGGATCTCAACAAGGTACACTAGTGCATTAGCAGGTGTCTGATTCTTGTCCACAAAAAAGACCTTAAATCTAATTTCATTTCAAATGCAAGATGGCGTACCCTTTATACCCTAACATGGGGGAGCGGGGATAGCACAGTGTTGAGAGTGCTTGCCTCCCATCGCTGTAGCCCAGGTTCAATTTGCGGACCTGGCGTCACATGTAGGTTGAGTTTGTTGTTGGTTCTTGTCCTGCTCTGAGGGTTTTTCTCCAGGTCCTGGTTTTCCTCCCTCTACAAAAACCAACATTCCAAATTCCAATTTGATCTGGAAACAGTGGACAAGAAGAGCCACCCAGTGGAATGTCCACTGCTAAATTATTATTTATTATTTATTTATTTATTATGATGTCAGTATCTGTATTCTCCATACTCATCTCTATCTATTTGGTACTAACAAGGAGAATTAGTTTGAAAATCAAAGCTTTTTAGGTTGACAATCATTTCCCAATGCCGGTGATGAATGATTCAATAGTATTACTAACATTAACTGTAGGAAGAAATTAGATGTTGGCCTCTCTAAGGGTTCAAAGGGTTACTGGCTTTTTGATACACCTAAGTAATCCCTCTTGCAAAGTTTTTTTGGCTTGTGTTACTGGACATGCTCCAAGAACAGATGAATGAGGAAATGGGCCAGTAATGGGAATTGAGCAGTTATCATTATAATAATAATAATAATAATAATAATAATAATAATAAAACTTTATTAATGTGTCAATGTATTTGGCTTTAAATTAGCTAATTGGGGACACCTAACTAAGTCTTAAGCTTACAACAAGTACAAGATGACTTAAAAATAAATATTAAAATTGTTTACAGTATGATAATTGGTACAATAAATAACTTAATAAAATGTTATAACAAATAAAGAATTATTTTAGTTTTGCATTTACGATTTACATAGTTTACAGCAACTGCTGTTATTCTTAATGAGATCTGAAAGGGCAATTTTCCTTATTCTGTTCTTAAATGTTGCGAGGGTGGGTGACATCCTTAATCCCTTACTAAGTTTTGACCAGATATATGTGCCCTGGTATCTTATTTTATGTTTTCGGTAACCTATGGTATTAAAACGAGGTATTTCAAAGTCGCAGTTTCTAACTAAAGGGAATTTTGAGAATTGCTAGAATTGAATAATGGTGATATCCCATCTTGAGGTATCTAGTACCCTCCCTGCTGATGTTGTTACAGCAAGGCTAGGTAACAGAAGATACAACTAAATAAATAATTCCTCTTGCAAGGTTTTTTCAGCTTGTGTCACTGGACATGCCCTAAGAAGAGATGAATGAGGAAATGGGCCATTGATTGGAATTGAGCAGTTATTATTGTCCCATCTAGAGCTATCTTGTATCCCCCCCCTCCCCCCCCTTTTTTTTTACTGGTGTTGTGACAGCAAGGCTAGGTAGCAGAAGATACAACTAATGCTTCAAATTTTTTCCATCTTACCATTATTTTTTTATTATTATTATTTTTTTTTTTTTGTCTCCTAGGTGAAAGTCAAACCTTATCTTAAAGCACCTGGAGATGATTTAGATCCTCAAACAGCTGCTGACATGGCTTGGGAAAATCATAAGAAGAGGAATGAATCAATTATGGTGGAGTTGTTTGATGTAATTAGCATTGCATTGCTACATTTTTTTATATTTTTATTTAGTACGATCATCTTGATTGCAGTAGACTTCCTTCTCACAATAGACAAACGAGATTGGGGGAAATGAAGCATCTACCTTGGAAGTTTTATTTCTTAGCTGTGAATGGTGGTATTTTTATTGAGTTAAACACTCTAGTTTTTTGAAGGTAAAATAATTTTACAGCTGCAGGAACTAATAGGAAATTTTTACGGAACTGTTGCACAATCCATAGACCAATAATGTTTTCCAACCCTTAGTAACAGAACAGGATCAACCATCAAGAGTAACTAAAGTACTGTATGTAGTCCTGCCAAATAGATTGCTAGAAATCACAATTCTTGCTTTTTTAGGGCCTCTTCATGTCGACTGTACAGTGCATGGTTTGCTCCAAAGAATCGAGAACTTTTGACTCTTTTTCAAACCTTACCCTTCCACTGCCTCCTCACAAGAGTCAATGCACACTTGAGGTATTTTGACAGTTCTTTCCGTAGGAAAAAGTGTTTGGACTTTTTCTTGCCATCTCTAATTCTGTTCTTAAATGGAAACATGATCATTACTGTAAGAAATTACTTCATGAAATTAATCAACTGATGTGTTCAATATTTCGTGGCTAACTAATATCCTTGATATGTTTGAGGAAGCTGTTGTTCCATTGTTGTCCTTCTGAGTGCAACAGGTGTCGCTGGCATGTTAGGTTAAGTTCAATAATTGCAGAGAATTTTTAATTTTTTTTTAGGATTGTCTCAAATTGTTCACTAAACCTGAGAAAATGGCAGGGGATGACAAGTGGTAAGTAGAAACATTTAACCTTAAAATGATGAAAGGCCTTCCCTGTGAAAATGGTTTGTTTCCTATTTCCTTCCTTTTTCATAAATTTCACAACTCTTTTTTGGTTATTTTTATGTCAAGTAATATTTTGCTCATCTCTGAATTTTTTTCAATGCTTGTGGTAGGTTTTGTCCAAAGTGTCGACAAAGAAGGGAAGCCAGTAAAAGAATTCAGATCTGGAAGCTACCCAGAATTCTTGTGGTCCACTTGAAACGGTAACATTAATTATTGACATATCTGTATCAAACCTATATATATATATAAAGAAACTGAAAACTTCTGTGTCAAGTGAAGATACTAAAACCAATGAAAAACGAAAGTCCTCTTTTTCTTTGCTTTTGCGCTATGCGTTTCACTGCTGTTGCAGCTCTTCAGGCATAGGAAAGTGTGTTTATTGACTTATAATGTCACAGATCTAATTGTAATTACAATAATAATGGCTATTGTAATTTTGAAGCACGCGTGAGCAATTAGCATAATTTCAAATCATTAAGAACGGGTTTATATTTCAAAATAAAAAATCTCTCTTTTTTTTTTTTTCTTTCTCATGACCTTGGAAGGGCCAAGAATCTTGTAGAACGGAAAGATAGTGAAACTTGCTGACAGCAAACATATTAATGAATGTGCTACGAGATTGACATAGCAAGTCAATAAACACACTTTGCTATGCCTGAAGAGCCGTAGTCTCCTTTGCAGCCGTTGTTTGGGCTCGTCATGCAAAGCTCCTTCCCCCACCAAATGGTGGGGGAAGGAGCTTTGCATGACGAAGGAGACTAGAAGAGCCGCAACAGCAGTGAAATCACAACAGCGGTGAGATCTGCGAAGGAGACTAAAAGAGCCGCAACAGCGG